GGGGTGATCCACACGAGGGCTGTAACGAGAGGCACCTGGGGTGATCCACACGAGGGCTGTAACGAGAGGCACCTGGGGTGATCCACACGAGGGCTGTAACGAGAGGGGAGATTAAACAAGTAACAGGTGTGGCTCGTTAGAGCCACACAATGAAGAGAACGAGGAGAAAAGAATGCAGGGTGTGACACATAATACTAAGCATGTTTTTACATGTTTTATTATGGGTGTTAGCAGAATATTATACTGCAGTAGATTTGGTGCTTCGTAGTTTGTTTGCATGGTAATCAAAGGTTAAATTTCCCAATGAGAAACATTTATTAATTATTAAAAAATGTAAATTTTTTTTTTTTTTTTTTATGAAAATAAACCAAGTACATAGATAATTAGATTCACTTGTTTGAATATTTTGGCATGATTTGGGCCAGCATTGCACAGTGAAGATCTCGGTAACTCTGTTACCATCAGAGGAAGTTGTCAGCGCATGGATCATTCCGTGATCAAAATCATTTCTTGAACACCAAGCATGTTTTTACCTGTTAGTCTGGTTGCGAAACCATTTCTAAGACCCTGGAGCGTCACTGAGACGTTGTCAAACTAATATCATGTCATACCAGTGTTCATACGCAGCTTAATCCTGCCTCTCCCACTCAAACACTGCAGCTAAGCAGCCCCCCCCCAGTGATCCCTGTTGCCATTTTGTGCTGTGGTGTGTGTATTAAAGCCCACATCAAGGTTAATGTGCTTCTGCTGCCTGCTGAGATGGACCCAAATCAACCACCATGTCTCCTTGAGTTTCATTGCCAGAAACAATGTGGATCGGCGAGGGATTTCTATTGACTGTGGTTTTCATCCTAACTGCAATTTGTGCTCTGCTCCTCTGTCCCTTCTCTGTTTTCATGTACATGTGGGGATACAAACAGGGTGAGTTACCTAGTGCATAACCGTCACGGCAGCTGCCAGTCTGCTGTAGCTGTTTGACAGTCCAAGAGTGACAAACTCCCTCATATTAGGTTACCGTGTATCTCTGTTTATGTCCCAAATCAAACTAAACTAACACACTGCCTCTGTATTTATGCATAACCCCATATACTGTAAAACCATAAACCCAACACAGGGCAAACCATGATAAAAAAGCATTGTTGTTATAGCCCTTCTGTCTTGAGTATGACGTTAAACTGCATCTGGCCCTGCAAGCTGTCCTCCAACTTGCAGGGAAACATTTTTTGCTACTCCAGCCACTATAAAACAACTCACAACAATAAATAGGCACGATACCTTTCTGCTCTCTGTGGGAGTAGCTCTGCTGCAGTCACCCTGCAGGAAGGCTGCATGCACCGTGAAGGGGATGGGGGACATCACTTGACAAGTTGAAACCGTCAGAGAGCTAATAGGCTCAGGCATGTTGGGGATCGGGGCTGGTGTGGTGCTGAGTGTCGCCGGCTGCATGGTGGCACTTGGGTCCCAGTTTGAGGCGGCCCACTGAGGGCCATGGAACGTCTTGTCTCCAGCAAGTTTACCATCTTCCTCTACAGTTGGGGGACCTAACTACTTTTGGTCTGGTCAGTCTGACGGCTGCCATACTCAGGCAGTAGCTGTTGCTGGATCGGCTCCTCTCAATGGTGTCTGATGTCACTCCTTTCAACGAGCGTATTAGGAGACTCAGGCTAAGGCACTCCTTGGGTGTGTCTGTTGTCTCAGTGTATGCTCCGTCCACGGTGAGTGATATCTCGTCGAGGGAGACATTTTACACTCCTCTGTTAATGGGTGACTTCAATGTGACCACTGGTACTGACAGGGCTGGCTATCAGGATTGTGTTGTTCCCATGGGTTTGGAGACCAGGGTGAAAGTGGCTCCTTGTTTCTTGACTTTGCGACAGGTCAGGGGTTGCGGGTCACTGGACCTACGTCCACCTACTAGGAGAAGGAGGCTGGACTCCAAGATCAAACTGTTTCTCAGATTGCACACAGTTTGTGTGAGGAACTTGCAGACTTGGGTAAAATTGCTGACTCTAATGTGATGAGGGAGACCTTCGTAAGACCCTGAAGGTTGCAGAGGGTGGTGCTGGTTTTGCCAGAGTTCCCAGAAGGAGGTGTTTCATCTCGCAGGGCACCTTGAATATTATCGAGAAGAGTCGCAGCGCATGATTTGGTGGCAACTCCAGTCTGTACTAGGACCTGAGGAAGACAGCTGTGAGAGCTCTGAGGGCAGATTAAGAGCCGTATATTAGATGAATCTGTGAGCAGGTGACACACCATCTGTGATCTAGTGACCTACATCCTGCTTATAGAGGAATCAAAGCATTACGCACAAGTGAATCTGTTCCTCAGAGACTTGCAGTCAGGGCAAGTGATGGAACGGTCCTTACGGGTGAGACCGCAGTTGTGACCCGCTGGGCCGGCTACTTTGAGCAGTCGTTTAAAGCTCTGGGTCCACGGTTCTTGAAGCTGATCCTCTGACCAGCTGTGAACTACCCAATCTCACTGAGATTGCACAGATAGTGAATCAGCTGGGGACAGGGAAGGCTGCAGGGATCTGTGGTATCCGGGGTGAACTTCTCCAGGCTGGTGGTAAGGCTGTCCTCCTGGCATTGCAGGCAATCTTTGCCTCCATTTAGGAGTCAGGCGTCATCCCAACTGACTGGAAAACGGGACTTTTAATCCCCTATCCGGAAAGGGAAGGGTGATCACCTGGATTGTGGCAACTACAGGGGAATAACACTGCTTATAGTGCCGGGTAAGGTCCTTGCTAGGGTCATTCTTAACAGGATCTGTGATCACTTGCTTACCTGTCAGTGACCGGAGCAGTCTGCTTTTACCCCTAAGAAGTCTACCATCGACCATATCTTGACACTGAGAGTTCTCATCAAGTACAAGCGCAAAAATCTGCAGAGGTTCTTTGCAGTCTTTGACAATTTCCATAAAGCGTTTGAGTTGCCCTGTGGGACATCCTGAGACTTTGCGGGATCCCCCCGAAGTTACTGGACATTATAGCCGGCCTGTACACTGGTACTGTGAGTTCTGTGCAGAGTGAAGGGAGAACCTCCGCGTTCTGCCCAGTTGATTCTGGGGTTCACCAGGGTTGTGTTCTTGGTCCTACTCTGTTCAATGCTTGTATGGACTGGGTGTTGGGCAGGGTCGTGGGGTCCAGCAGCTGTGGGGTGTCCATGGTGAAGAAAGATTTACTGATCTTGACTTTGCCGACGTTGCTGTGATCTTAGCGGAGTCAATCGAGGCTCTGATCGGGGTTCTCGAGAGACTGAGTGAGGAATCTGTGTATCTGGGATTGCGAGTGTCCTGGATAAAGACAACAATCCAGGCATTTAATGATTTCTTAGGCACAGCCATCAGTAGTGTGTCTGTCTGCGGGGGGAGGGTCAACCTTATCGAGAGGTTCACTTACCTCGACATTGGCATTGTCTCTGGTCACTCTTCCTATGAAGTCAGCAGATGGATTGGAAGAGCATGGGGGTCATGAGGTCGCTGGAAAGGGATTGTTGCAATATTTTTGCAAGAGGATGAAGGCCCAAGTCTTTAGAGTCCTGGTGCTCCATGTCTTGCTGTATGGCTGTGAGTCATAGACACTATCCAGTGAGCTGACATGAAGACTGGTCTCCTTTGGTATTGTGTCTCTTCGAAGAATCCTTGGGTACCGCTGGTTTGACTTTGTGTTGAATGAGCAGTTGCTATAGGAGTCCCGAATGAGGCACATTACCTGCACTGTGAGGGAGCGTCAGTTACGGCACTATGGCCATGTGGCGCGTTTCCCTGATGGTGATCCGACTCGCAGGATGCTCATTGCTGGGGACACAAGTGGCTGGACCAGGCCAAGGGGACGTCCACGTAACACTTGGGTGTGGCAGACTGATGGGCATTTCCAGAGGGTAGGACTGGACCATGTGTCTGCCTGCTGAGTATTAATCATATGTGTGAATAGTAATAATAATTTAATAACTTTAGGTCTGAAGAAATCTGTGCTTCATACGACTGTGGAGGAGGGACAGCAGCTTCCTGCTGGCGCACATGGGAAGCAGGTACTTCACTGTCTGATTGGCTGTCAGATGACATCATACGTCATAAATGTCTAATTAATCTGTCATAATGTATCATAGGCGCAGGCCATAAGTGATGGAGGACGACTGCTTGGCATTTACTCAGAGGTCAACTACAGCCCTCTGTGACCTCTGACCTCAGCTACACTTCCACAAGTCATGTGATCCAGATAACCCCACCCTCCAAGACTCACTTGCACACCTTACATGTCTCCTACATGACTTCATTTTTGACACATAAGGGGTTTTCTCATTCAGTTATAATTGTGATTTTAATTTTTATGCACACATTGTAGTCTGGCTGAACTGTAAAAGGAGTGTCCATCTTTATTTTGGATGATTATTACGCAATAAAATGTTCCTTTTATTTGATTCTGAAAAAGGCCTTTATTTGAATTATTTTTGGTGCAGATCATCATTGTTCAATGACGTGATGGAAAATATTTTCCTCATAACTCTGCAAGACTTGAAACTGCTGATAAATTCAGCTTGTTGGTCTTAGTGTCCAAATGACCACAGAACTGAAACAGGCCCCCTGAGATCCAGCCTCAGCAGAAACTGTATGTTGTGAGCTTCATATGTACTGTAGCATATGTCATGGTTCTCGTTCATAAGGCCAATGCATGACACCTAACCTGGTGTAAAGAGCACAAAACCTGGACCAGTGAGCAATGCAGAACCTATATGGCCTGATGGGTCGTCTGTCACTCTTTATCCCACATCTGGGTGGGTTTATGCTTGGAGAAAGACAAAGGACGCCTTCAGCTTCACTTTACTTTGAACGCCCTACTTTGCCTTGCGGTAGCCTGTCTGCTTCTGACTAGCTACTGAGGCTAATGCTGCGTGCACAGAAAACACGGTGGGAAAAAGGAAGTTATTTTCTCTCAATGACAAATATAGACCCATCAAAGCTTATGATAAACCGGCAAACACGAGCCACTTAAATGCAGCAGCGAAACTACAATAAGCACTTAGATACAGTGTAACGTTGGGAAAACGTTGTGTGTGCATGTGTGTGTGTGTGTATACACTGTATATATATATATACACTCACGCATGCAGGTAATTTGTAATCTCCAATTAGCCTCAGCATGATTTTGGACTGTGGGGGGAAACCGGAATAGCCAGAGAAAACCCCACATTAACCAGTATGTCCTGCAATGTTCTCCCATCCTAACTATGGAGTCCCCAGTCTGTGTTGCCTGTATTAGGCTCCAGTTCACCATCTGTACTGGAAGATGTGCCATAAATAGTGATGTTAACCATCTTTGTAAGCAATAGCAAAGAGAATATGACTGAAAATGTTCTTGTGTCTCTGATATAGACAGTTCCACTGGCTCCGGCTGGGTTGCTCAGGAGGTGGTCTGCCCTTGGGGCAGTCGTCTCCCAGTCTGTCTACATTTGGGGGCACAGAGAGCACAAGCAGCACGCTGAGCCTTTGTCCTCCCCCAGGCCTTTTCCACAGCCATGTCCTGTTAGCACTCTTGCAGCCGACAGTGAGGAAACCATAGTTACAGTTGGCCTGCATGGTGCTGGTCGCCCCCTGCTGGTGTGTGTCAGATTCCACACTCTACAATATTAAGCACATGTCAGTCTGGTATGTAGCTCAGTGGGTTATGACTCTGTGCCCATATCCTGAAGGCTGTAGGTTTGAGTCCTGTGGCTGGCAGAGTAATCATATCACCACTGGGCCCTTAGGCATGGGCCTAAAACCCAGCTGCTCTGGGGTGCTGGAGGCTGGATGCTGACGATGCCCCCTGAGTCCAGTCTTTCCTCTACTGGATGCCTTCAGCCTGCAGTGCCGTGGGAGTCTTTAGGTCTGATGATTTAAATAGAAATCAATTGATAACCCATAGAGCTTTTGGGGAGTGTGGATGTACAGTATGTGTTGTAAGCAATATTAACACAGCTTCCAACTTATAACAGAAACCTATGAGTTTCAGTATATCTTGCAAAAGATTGCAAAGTGGCCTCTTTGAGCCGCGTGACTTTGAAGACCACAGTGCTGCAGCCTGATGTTCATGCAAACACCCGACACACTGAAGGACTCCCTGATGGACTAGCGAGCTGGTAAATTCTGTCTTTTGCAAAATGACTGATAAAAATGCATGAACATACATGTTACTTCATGGATGAAAAGCTGCTGCCCTTCATTTCTGTCTCCGTACAGGCAGCCCTGCATGTCTGAGGCTGGAGACCTGCTGCAGGAGAACAACGATGCACTGATGCTCGCGTTCCAGCAAAAACAGCTGCCAGTGATGACCAGACCGCAGATCTCAGCACATGCAGCCACAGTGACTGGCTGTAGCATCAGCTGCACTGAGGATGTCACAGTCACAAAAACAACCGCACTTTCCAAACAGAAGCCATGAATTACAGGAGATGTCTAACTAACTTTACATTTTGCATCAATCTACCAAAATTATAGTACTATATTTAATGTTGTATAATAAAAATAACTTTTTTACTTACAGACGATGCCAGATTGTAGGATTATATGAAGGGATTGTGGAAAAACAGTCACATTTTCGACCTGCCCAACTACGCCACGGAATAAACTGAACTTCCTTATCAGTGCTACTTCCCGTTAGTGTAATACAATATTCAGCCACGAGGTGTCAGCAAAGAACCGTTTACTTTCGTGGTTCGGCTGCAGGTACAAAGAGCTTGAATGGCGCTGGTCCATCATTCGTCTGGCTACTCTATGGGAC